AAAAATGTGGACTGTTTATGCATAAATTTATCATTTAAAAAAATATTCCTGTAGTTATAACAACAAAAACATATTTCTTAAGCCCAACTTACATTTATCAATATACTTACAAGCCTAAAACTCTATGCTAATTCACTTTTTAGGCCTTCTTATACTTTGATTGGAGCTTGTAGTGCCTAAGGGACTTGACTGCTAACCAGGAGGCTGGCAGTTCAAACCCACCAGCCACTCCTGGGAAGGAAGATGGGGCAATCTACTTCTGTAGTGATACTGCCTCGGAAACCTAAGGAGGGGTCGCTATTAGTCAGGTCCAACTCCACGACACATAACAAAAACAACACACTCTGATTGAAAGCTCTGGTGGCATAGTGCCTAAGGCACTTGACTGCTAACCAGAAGGGTGGCAGTTCAAACTCACCAGCCACTCCTCAGAAGGCAGGTTGGGCAATCTACTTCTGTAGTGATACTGCCTCGGAAACCCAAGGTGGGGTCGCTATGAATCGGATCCGACTCGAAGGCAGTGAGTTTGGTTTTTGGTTACCACAGTGATGGGGTAAAATCAAGGGGAGAGGACCCAGAGGAACAGGAGGCCAGGGGAGAAGTAAGAGTTCAGATAAGAGACCTCTCCAAAAGAATCCCTTGTCTCTGAAGCTATCAGATTCTACCTTCTTCAGTGTGAGTCTGGAGCAGCCTGGTGTCCTGGAGGAGGAAGAGTGGTTTCACGAATCATCCTTCATGAACTGAGGGAATTGTGTACCGGGAGCCAGAGATGCCCCGCACACAGGGTGAAAAGTAATTTCCTAAGACTCGGACCGCCCAAGGGTCACACATGCCATTCAAAGGAGCAACCCAGGAGGTGGCCCGGCCGAGAGGACTGGGTAAGATGCGGGAATAGAGACCACGAAGGAATAGAGGCTCCGATGGGAGAGCACATGCAGCCAGGACACCAGAAAAGGCGTGTGGGGGTGGGGTGGGGTTGTGTGTGTGTGTGTGTGAATGCCAGACCCTGAAGAGCAGAAAAGTCAAAAAAACCAGGTGTGGCGTGATAACAACTGGCCTCTTGGAGCCCCATCCCCACCCAGGCACCGTACCCGCTGGGGCCGGAGAAACTCTCCTGACGCTCACGGTACTCACGGAAACCAGGAACTCTACTTACCAGTGGCAGTGCCAGGGGGTGAGAGGGCAGCCGAGAAAAGGACTAGCAGGAGGCAGCACCCTCCCATCACAACCAAGTGGCCTGAGGTCTAGTCCGCACAGCTCGGCTAAGTAAGTAGGGGAACGGCAGCGGAGCAAGCAACCACATGACTATGAGACGTCACAAAGGGGGAGGGGCCAAGAACCCGGAAGCCGCAGCCAAAAAGAAAAAGTGTCAGATGTTGTAAAGAGCAAGAGGCGATGGACCCTTGTGGCGCAACGGTTAAGCACTCGGCTGCTAACCAGAAGGTTGATTGTTTGACCCCACCCAGAGGCTTCGCAGGAGAAAGACCCATCGTTCTGCTTCTATAAAGATTACAGAGAACAAAACCCTATGGGGCAGTTCTACTCTGTCATACTGACTAGCTATTGAGTCGGAATCCACTCGATGGCACCCGACAACTGTGAGACAATAAACGTCTGCTCGTATAAACCACCCAATTGTGGTTATTTGTTCAGCAGCCCTCGGAACTAGTAGAGGGACTTCGACTTTACAAATAGAAGAATAGTGCAGTGACAGCGCTGAGCAGCTGAACGTTCTGCTCCAAATCCCAGAAGCACATTCCCGTCACTGCCACCCTCCCTGCAAAGGTGACTTCGCCAGGCAGAACAGCTTGGGTCTCCCCAAGCTTCTTTACTCCCAGCCGGGCCACAACGGCCACATTCTCCGACCCACTCACCCTCCACTACGCACAGCCTAATTGGCAATGTCACCACCAACCCCCTCTATTTACTGATTTAAGCCAACACTGCCTCTCAGAAGCACCTTCTATTGTTAAATTAGTCACACTTGAAATTCCCTAAGACGTTTCAACCTCTACAATCCCCTCCTTCTCTTCCCAGTGACCCTCAGATCCAGCCAGGGTTCCTGCTGCTTCTGGTCACATCCTCTTAAGTTTCTGCGGTAACGGAGGGTGGCCTCGCTCTTCAGGTCCTGGTGCCTACAAGCCCAATGAAGTGAATCCTCATGGTCCATGCCAACACGAACTTCTCTGCAGTCTCCTGTTTCCAGGCAGCCTTCTCTGTCTCCGGGACCCACTGCCCTCAAACCCAACAAGTCTACAAGGAAACTCTTCCCCAGCAAACTCTACTCACCCCTCCCCACGCTTTCAAATAAGAATATTTTAATAATAATAATAAGAAGACGCTAGGTTTGTTCCGAGGCGTTAAAGATAACTGCAATGAGAGAGGGAGACAAGTCCCCCCTCTTTCCTAGAAATCTCGGGTTCCGGGTTTGGGTGCAGGACCCAAGAGGCCCGCCCCTCCCCCACCAACCCTCTGAGTCGACTACGGCGGAACGAAGCCCTCTCCTCGCCCGCCTCAAGCCCCCTTCTTTGTCCCACAAACCTCCTTGTTCTCCCTTCACTCCCGCCTAGGAACCCCAGACTCACTGGAATAGGGGGCTTTCCTCTCAGACTTCAGTTGACTCTGTTGGGTCCTGAAAGAAAACAGAAACTACTTAGCGCCCAGGCTTGCATAACTAAGTGCGGGGCTTGCTCTGCCTCCTGGGCTGCGGGCGCCCTCTACTCGAATGAACAAGTTACTCGAAGGGCTGGAGTTCACTGTCAGCCCACGCTGGTCTAGAAAAAATAAAAAGTACTGATTGGTATCTGTGCAGAATAATGGCCCTTATGGAGGCATTATTACTTTCTGATTCTCAAACCGGATTTTGCCAGATGAGAAAATGCTGAACTGGGCGGTTCAGGGAGAACCTCGATTCCAGAGGTTCAGAGAGAAGTCTGAAATGTTTGCTTTAAAATACAGCACCGCGGTTGATAACTTGGTTGAGTACGCGGAATTCTGCTCCCAATCCCTCTCTCCCGGGGCCCCACCCTGGATTCTGAGACCCGAAAACATCTCTTGCACCCTCGCGTCGCTGCGGAAGAGACCTGGTCGCCTCTGGACTGCCCAGATCGAAACAGAATCTCGGTCTGCCTGGGCGAAGAGCGAGTAAGATCCCGGCAAGAGTCCACTTGCCACCAATGGTCCCCCCACCCCCGCGCGGGGTCTTTCTCCCTCCGCAGATGCAGATGGTCTTCTTCCCCCACCACCCACGGTCTTTCGTCCCGCGAGCAGGGTCTTCTTGACTATTAATTTTTTAAAAAATTGAAGTACAAATATACAAAATAAAGCATATGCCGAGCCAACAATTTCTATGTGTATAATTCAGTGAGGGAGGTCTGGTGGCATAGTGTCTAAGGCATTTGAGTGCTAACCAAAAGGCAGGTGGTTCAAACCCATCAGCCACTCCTCAGGAAAGAAGGTTGAGCAATCTACTTCTGTAGAGACACCTCCTCGGAAACCCAACGAGAGGTGGGTATGAGTCAGGATCCACTCCTCGCTGTGAGTTTGGTTATTTATAGGAAACACAGTTACAGATACTTCTTAGATACAACCTAATACCTCAAGAAATTGGTTTTCTGAGTTTGAAGGCTTAGGAACATAATCTCATGAGGATAACTCAGTTATTTGGCATAATATAGTTAATCAAGTATATAATCTACATCTCAATATGAGTAGTGTCTGAGGCCTTAAAAGCTTGCGAACAGCCATCTAAGGTAAGTCTACTCATCGTCCAAAAGAGAAAGAAGAAAACCAAAGACTCACAAAAGAAAGTCATCTACAGGACTAATAGTCTACACCAACCATCGTCTCATCTACCCCGAGACCAGAAGAACTAGCTGTCCCTGGCTACTACTAGTGACTGTTCTGGTCAGGCCCACAATAGATGGATCCTGACAGAATGGGAGAAAAATGTGGAATAGAACTCAAATTCTTAAGAAGTCCAGACTTACTAGACTGATTGAGACTAGAGGACTTCCCAAGACTATCACTCTGAGATATTCTTTAAACCATAAGCTGAAATTCTGCATTGAGGTCACCTCTTAACTAAGTAACAGATTGTCTCATGAAATAATGAATATCACCCATGAGCGATGAGCTTCTTTAAAAAATTTACCTATACTCATATGGCTTCAAGCCTCACTCAAAGAAAAAGACAGTCTTTGCCATGGTCTAACTGACTGTACTGAATTTATTATCCTCCTTACCACCTACCTACTCTTTAGCCCTCACTCACTCTGCTTCAAATGCTTTGAGTTTCTTGTGGCCATTGGAATGTATGGGCTGGCTGTTCAAGATCTGTCTCGGATCCCCCTGCCTGCATATCTGCCAAATGTGTCATAGCTCACTCTCCTACCTAAAAACCATATTCTCAAGGAGATTTAATATCACCCTCCAATCCCACCACAAAACTCCCTGTACCATTCTTTGCTTTATTTTTCTTCCAGGGTACTCATCATCATCATACATATTACATGTTTTTCTCACTAAGATTTTGATTGTTTCCTTCAATATCTTCATAAAGGCAAATATTTTTATCTGTTTTTTGTTTTGTTTTGTTTGTTTATTGTTCTCTGTTGTTGTGTCTACAGTCGTAGGATAGTGTCTTGCACGTGATAGGTACTTAACACATATCTTTTTTGAAATGACTACATAAAGTATTTCCTTTCAAAGACTCAGGCTAAAGTTCTGGGTCCAAGATGGCTGACTAGGCAGATACACAAGCAGACTCTCTACAACAAAGACTTGAAAAAACAAGGGAAACAGCTGTGGATGACAATTCTGGATCCCAGAGTTTCCAAGGAAAGGATAAAGAAGTAGATCAAATACCAACAAGAGAAAGAGACTGAACAAAAACAGTGAATAAGGAGCAGTAAACTGCTAACCCACAAAGTGCAGCTATTTTGAATTATTGCAAGCAGTGATCTGATCAGAGCAGGAATCAGATAACTGGCTCCACTCACCCAGGACTGCACCAGCACCCACATCAGTGATCAGGTGACCAGAGAAGTGTGCCATCCCCCCTTACCTTGCACAAATTCCCAGTGACCAGGAATGTGGCACTCCCCACCTCCACCCACCCTGCAGCAACGGCACGCATTGCCAGTGCTGGGCCACACTTTTTTTTTTAAATCTCTTTGCTTGTTCCTCCTTCCAGCTTCCACCAAGAGCAGGAGCCCCTTCCCCACTGCCCACGTGGTTAGTAGTGCCTGTTGCCACTCTTTCTTGGTCAGAGTGTGGACTCTGCCTAGCTGCATTTGGTGGCTGGCACTTTCGACAGTACTGTGCTTCTTTTATTCTTACTTTCTTCTTTTTAGTTCTTTCTTCTTACTCTTGTTTTCCTTTTCTTTATTTTCTATTGTTTCTTTGGATAATTGGATAAAATAAAAATGGATAATTTTCTATTGTTTCTTTCTCTTCACTCTGTCTTTTCTTTCGTTTTGTTTCCACCTTCACATCTGTGGTCAGCAGAAGCCCATCCACTTCTTCATCAATGGCCGTGTAAGCTCTCCCAGAGTGAGCTCTGTGTTCCTGCTGCAGCTGTGTTTGCCAGCAAATGCCATTTTTTCCCTCTCTTCTGTTTTCTTTTTGTTTCTTTCCTTTTCTCATCCTCTTTTTTTTTTCCTTTTTCTCTTTTGCTCCTACTTTGCCACACTATTACTATTTTATTCTTTTCCTTCTTCTTCATTTTTTTTTTTTTTAAATCCAGCTATGAGTACCTTGCCCCCACTACCACCATCTTCAGCAGTGCCACCCCCGACCCTTCATATTTGATGGTGCAGTGCTCCTACAAAGCAAGTGCCACATTTGTTGGCTATCACTGTGTTTGGTTGCTATCACTTGCACCACTACTGTGTCACATTTATTTCTTGTTTTTTGTTGTCATTACTGTTTGTTTGGGAGTTCTGGTGATGCAGTGCCAAGGCACTTGACCACTAACCAGAAGGTTGGTGGTTCAAACACACCAGTCACTCCTCAGAAGGAAGATTGGGCGATCTACTTCTGAGAGATACTGTCTCAGAAACCCAAGGAGGGGTCGTTATGAATTGGAGACGACTTGACGACACATAACAACAACAACAACAACATTGTTTGTTTTTTTTTCCTTTCATCTTTTTTTTTTTCTTTCCTTCTTTTTCTTTCTTCTTCGGTCTCCCTTCTCTCCCACCCCCATTTTTTCTTCTCTCCTTCCACATCCTCCCCAGTTTTTTCTTTTTATCGTCCCTAGGAGTTGAGAGTTAGTGACCCTACCCAACCATACTCACTCACCTTAACCACTGGGCAAGTGCTGCCACTTGCTCCAGCATTACTAGACTGATGACAGATAACATCCAATACCCACCGCAACTGTCCTCAGCTGCTCTGCATGATCAGTAATCAGAGACTCATGCCCACATGACCACCTGCTACCAAATCTTCCCAGAGACAGGTGGTAAATGCCCCACTGCTATGAAACTAGTGACCAGAATAACATGACCAACTTTTTGTCTGGAAACATTAAAACAAAACAAAAAAAGCCAATGTGAAGCAAACCAACTGTGATAGTTGGAGCTGTGTGATAACTTGGCTGGACCACAATTCTGTGTGGTTTAAGCAATTGTGATGTGGGTTGTTCCAATGATGGGATCAGATGTATATGTTTTGAGCAGCCAATCTGTTGAAAGGGAATTTCCCTAGGGGTGTGGCCTGTTTCCAGTATATTTATGGACATCCTTGGAAGAGACACTCTTCTGTGGATCGGGATTCTGTTGTGCTGCCTACAACTGTCTGTGAGTGAACAATCCACCATTTGGCCTGGAGATCTTGGATTCGTCATTTGTTGGAGTCAACAGCTAGTATACTGCCTGCCAACCTTGAGCTCCTCAGCCCCTGCAGCTGCGTGAGTTGGGAAAAGTCTCCAGCTTGACGTTTGATCCAAGAACTTTGGACTTGCCAGTTTCTATACGTGAGTGAGCCATTTTTCTAAGATAAATTTCTCTTTCTCTCTCTATATAAGCTTTACTGGTTTTGTTTCTCTAGAGAACCCAGTCTAACACATTTGGTACCGAGAGTGGGGTCCTTCTTCAAAGGGACCCAGGCTCCTCTTCATTCAAGGGTTTGTGGGTCTGTAAACTGACTCAAGTCTGGAAATTGATCGAGAGGTCATGACTGTGTATTCTGGTGATTCAATCTAGGCTGCTGTTCACGTGACCTAGAATTCTTCTGTCTATACAGATCAAGTAAATACTTAGTAGGTTTGCCAGGTATTTCACTACCAGGAACACCATGTGCAAGTAGACAATGCCATAATTCCACGAGTCAGACTTTTTGGGAATTATTGGACACTGGCTCTGAAATGACACTAATTCTAGGAGACCCAAAGCATCATTGTGGTTCACCAGTCAGAGTGGGGGCATATGGAGGTCAAGTTATTGATGGAGTTTTAGCTAAGGTACGACTCACAGTGGGTCCAGTGGGTTCCCAAACCCGTCCTGTAGTGATTTCCCCAGTTCCAGAATGCATAATTAGAATATATATACTGAGCAATTGGTAGAATTCCCACACTGGGTCCCTGACATGTGAAATAAGGGCTATTTTGGTAGGAAAAGCCAAGTGGAAGCCATTAGAACTGCCTCTACCTACAAAAATAGTAAATTAAAAGCAATACTGCATCCCTGGAGGGGTTGCAAAGATTACTGCCACCATCAAGGATTTGAAGGATACAGGGGTGGTGATTTCCATCACATCCTCATTTAATTCACCTAGTTAGCCTGTGCAAAAAAACAGACAGATCTTGGAGAATGGCAGTAGATTACCATAAACTTAATCAGGTGGTGTGTTCTGGTTACCTAGTGTCACTCTGACAGGAATATACCACAAACAGGATGGCCTTAACCAACAGGAGTTTATTCTTACAATTTGAAGACTTTCAGTCCAAGTACAAAGTGCCAGACTTTAGGGGCTGGGTGAAAGCACCTCAGCCTTGGGCTTCAGCTCTGCCTCCAGCTCCCAGCCCACTGAAGCTAGAGGCATTTCTTCACTCAGACAGCTGCTGGCTGCTGAGGCTAAGAAGCCCAAGGTTGAAAAATAAAATGGCACAGTCCCGATGTTACCAAACCACACGGCAGGCCATTAATGTAAGTCCATCGGAAGTCCCAAGGTCGGCAGAGCATGGCAGGCTGCTGAACAATGACATGACTACATGCAGGGTCCAAGTGTGCCATAAGCTAGAGACCATTCCCAAGGCTTCTCCTTGTATACAGGAAGCAGACCACATCCCAAAGGCAGTTACTCAGCTGCTTGTGGTAGATCTCACCATGGAGTTGATTGCCAGTCTCATCATGGGGAATAACTACCACCAGCTGCCCAGCCAAGTTGACACAAAAACATAATCACCACATCATTATTCCAGTTGCAGCTGCTGTTCCTGATGTGGTTTCATTGCTTGAGCAAATTAGTACATCTCCTGGTACTTGGGATGCAGCTATTGATCTGGCCAATGCCTTTTTCTCAATACCTATTTCAAAGGACCATCAGAAGCAGTTTGCCTTCAGCTGGCAAGGCCAACAGTACACTTTCACAGTGCTTCCTCAAGGGTATATCAACTCCCCAGCACTATGTCATAGTTTAGTCCATAGGGATCTTGATCACCTTTCCCTTCCACAAGACATCACACTGGTCCATTATATTGATGACATTATGCTGATTGGACTTAATAAGGAAGAAGTATCGATGACTCTAGACTTACTGGTGAGACATGCATGCTAAAGGTTGGGAAATTAACCCAACAAAAATTCAGGCACCTTCTACCTCAGTGAATTTCTAGGGGTCCAATGGTGTGG